GTGTGTGTGTGTGTGTGTGTGTGTGTGTGTGTGTGTGTGTGTGTGTGTGTGTGTGTGTGTGTGTGTGCGTGCGTGTGTGTGCGCGTGTGTGCACTGTAATCACAAATAATTTTGAAAAAATATTAACAATACTTAAACTCTTACATATGTATATAGCGAATATAGCGATTTCCAAATAATGTTCCCTTATAGAAAAGTATTACTGAACTACCGACCAAAATATTACTGGCAGTAATTTACAGTAATTTATTACTGAATATCTTTTAGTAGTTTCAGTAATATTTTTCTAAGTATTAACTACTGAAAGATATTCAGTAATAAATTACTGTAAATTACTGCCAGTAATATTTTGGCCGGTAGTTTCAGTAATACTTTTCTATAAGGGTTGTCTTCAAATGATATCAATTACTTCCTTGTTATCTTGGAATAATTTTCTTCTTTTACGTAAGATGACCTTATCAACCTCTAAGTCAAGTAATCTTAAAAAATTATAATTATAAGTTATTATATAATAATTATATCTAAATCACTGTATATACAGGATGAAGCATTTAAAACAGACCACTTGAATAACTTGTCTGTTATTTTTAATAGAAAGATAAATGTTAAACAAAAGTTGCTTGGTTTTGAAGGAGACATAAAATGGTACTATTGGTTTGACCTTAGGTAGCATTGTCAAGATCAGATAAAGGTCACCTTAAATTTTTTAATGGAATCCCTCATTTTTTTATTGCACATACAGACGTGCGCTATTTAATATTTTACTATTTAATATTTTACTTGCCATTACTCTATTAGCCTCAATACAAATGTCAAAATACAATGACAGCCGCTTATTACACAAAGTAAGTGCAGCGAGACAACCAATCGGCATCACGGAAAAGCGATAACAATAAAGAGAAATGCAAGTAATCGACTTTACATGCACTTTTTTTAGCTAGGAGATTCTTCTGTATCTTATATATCTCGAAAGCTTTTCAAAACACTATAATAAAATATTTTTCTATTAAACACTTTTCGAGTTATTAATCTTGAAAGTTAAAGTACCGCCGACATTAGCATTATCCAAAGCGTCCGAACCTAAAACCTTTTGAATGTTGTTCAGGATCATGACCTTGACAACATATATCAAGGTTAAGGCTATTAAAGGTTCTTGCTCTTATTTTCATTTTTGAAAATTTTTATTTTTTGAAGAAAAAGGAGAATAATCTCCAATGGTCATGACTTTGACGTATGTTGTCAAGGTCATAATCCTGAACACCATTCAGAAGATAATGCTAATGCCGGTGGCACTGTACATACCTTTCAAGCTTTATAACTCAAAATTTATTTAACTAAAAAGTACTTTATTATAGTGCTTTGGAAAGCTCTTGACATCTGCTACTAGATTCTAGAATAAAAAATTGAGTGTTCCATTAAAACAAATAGATGTGACTTTGACCTTGGCGACACCACCCAAGGTCACAGTAATACTACTATCGAATCTGCCCCCTAAAACCCTAAAACTTTTATCCAAAACATTTTTTTGGTAAAAAGCGTAGGAAAAGATATTTGGAATGGGACATTAAAATGGCCCACCCTGTATATATATATGTATTTTTTTTTTTCAAATTCTCAGATTTTAAAACAATGCACTTTTTGAAGAAATTTTTTAATATTACATAATTATAACATGTTAAAAAAATCTTTATACCTTAAAACATTATTTTATATTTTGCTGTATACTTGAAATTTTCAGGATATTAAAGTTATTTTCAATAAAAATTTAATAAATATCTAAATGTATCTAATAATAATAATAATAATATCTAAAAAGTCATCTAAAAGTAAAATAATTTTTCTTACTCGTCATGTAGTCTTTCTTTCTGTTTCGTATTTTCTTCATTTATCAAAGCAGGATGTTTCTTTATATTCTTACGTTTATCCTTTCTTATTACATTTTGTTCCTTTAGAATAAACAAATGATCAAAGATATTAATAAGTTTATAAAAATAGTTGAGTAAATAAATAATTATGAACTTGTAGTTATTATATAACATTTTAAGTTATATAGAATTTAATGAATAAACTTAAGGTGGTTTTATCGTGTAAGTCCCAGTCAAAAGTTAGTCACTCCATATGACTAATAATTCAATAAAAACAAGCGTAATTCAATAAAAACATTTCGCATAGACTGTACATATGCGATTGTGTGCCGTTTATGTCAACATGTCGACAACGTCACACTATCGAGTTGGCGTTGAGCGATAAAACCACCTTAATAAATAATGAACGTTAAATGAATTTTTTAATAAATAAATATTATAAAAAAATAAATTATACCGGAAGCGATTCCGCATGTATATTTTCCAAAAGATATTTGTATTTAGAAATTCCATCCTTGTGATATTTATCTTGTAACATTAATTGCTGTTTGTGATTATCTCTAAGCTGTACTATTTGCGCGCGTAAATGATTGATTTCGTCCTGTAATGCAGAAACTGCTTCGAAATTAATTTTTCTATATTTTTGGTTGTTCTTACTCTTATTAATAAATTTTCATATTAAGATTTTTCTTGATATAATTAGCATTATGTAACTAATTTTCTTACGAAATTCGGCTTGTGAAATTCTTAAAGTATTTTTGTAAAAAATTTGAAGTTAATTGCAATTTTAATTTTGTATACAAAACGAAATATAAATCAGTTAAAATTTTTATTTTTACCTTTGACACTGTTTAAGAGTGCAACATGATCGCGTTCACGTTGCATATCGGTTAAACTATAATCCAATTCTTTGTTTCTTTTTTTTAGATTATCCAAGTTTGCCTTATACTGATCCTCGAGTTTCATAAACCAACAGAGCATGTTCTTTAGTTTATTTTTCATTTTTGCTGACTGTTCGCGCTCAAATTCTAAAGACTTTCGTTGCTTTTCACTAAAAACATATAACGCAGAAAATTTCTGCCACGTACGAAAATCTTATTACTTTTTATCCCTTTGTCAATAGTCAATACAATTTATCAGATTCTTAAAGAGTTTGAACATTTTAACAGAAAACTCGTTTGAAATATAGAAATTTTCCCATTTATGAACATTTTTGTAAAATATTATTTTGCGCAAGTTTTTGTCATGGATGAAAATGTTATTCATAAGTCTTGTACCGAAATAGTATAAAGTAGAATAAAATAAAGTACAATATTTCAATTATTTATTTTTTTTCTATATAAAAATTATGTGTAGCAAAAACAATTTTTATTTCAGAAAAAATATTTAATAAATATTTATAAATATAAATATTTAAATATTTAATATTTGATTACTTACTACATTATGATTACGAGGTATTGCGAAACTATCAGGATTCATATTATGGAACTGTTTGAAATTAGATTCCGATTAAAATTGTTTAATTATATCCTAAATTTGTATTGTGTTTTTAGGAAAAACGGAATAATTTCGATCGGAATACATTTTAAACAGTTACTGTAATACGTAACTTGCAGTTCTATAATACATATGATTGACAACCCAAGGAGAACAGAAAAGTCAAAATAATATCAATTTGACGTCAAATTGACCGAATTTACGTCACTTTTTACATCATGATTAAAATCTCGATTTCAAATGACTAAAGAATGACTTTATATTGACTTTTTTTTATAGTGTCGATCTTTTTGATTTT